TATTGCTTGGTTTTGTTCATTTTATGTCCCTTTGGTGCTAATTAGAGAAGAGAAGTATATCTGATGTTTTGTCTACTTGTTGAATGTGGACAATGTAGCCTGGTTCAAGATGATTCGTATGGTTCTTTTCATTAGCTATTTCGAGGTTGTCAAATGTTTAAGGCAAACACTCATTTCATTTCTCTCCAGTGGTTCTAAGGATTGCATTTGCATGAACCAAAATTCCTAGTAGGCTATTAAAAATCTAGTAATATTTCACCATTTTTTTTTTTTGTTATTGAGATAAGGCAATTGCTAGTAATGTTTCACAATTAGCTAAACTTTGATTTGGACAAAGGAAAACAGGGATAAATGTGGCATTACACTTGATTTTTTGTTAGTAGAGTGGTGATCTCTTTTTATTGGAGTTGAAATTAATTTAAGCTATACAATAAGTTAGAGTATTAAGTAAAAGAGAAGGGGATTGTGCTACTTAAAACCAGCAAAAATAAAAGAAAATTCATTTGATTTCTCTTTATTATTATTATTATTTGAGTTTTATGAATAAAAAGATAAGTATTAGGAGTGTTTTTTTATAAGATTTAATACGACTTGATTTCAAATTAATTAAAATTTAATGTGTTTTTCGAATGTTAAAAGGTTTAGTAAAAAATAATAATAATAATAATAAATCATTTGATTGTAATTGTTAATTGAGTCATAGTTTAGTAGTTTAGCTATACTATTAAAAATTTATTATTATTATAATTTTAAGTTTTAATTTTTAAAATTTCTACAATTAAAAATAAAAATAAAAATAAAAATTACTTACTTATTAAGTATAAAATTAAAATTTTAAAATAAGTACTCCAAAATTTTAAATTTAATTAATTGATAAAAATTTTTAATTTTATTATAAAATTTTAAAATTTTTAAAAATCAAAATAACAAATTTAAAATTACAATTATACTAAATAGATCTGCTGGTGTAGCATTTATATTTTATAGGTGTATGGGCTTTGGTCTAAGATCCAGATCTGCAAAATAAGAAGCAGTGGAGTAGTTGCGGCTACAAGTCGGGCACGGTATTTAATTTAAAAATTTTCAAGTATATTTCTTTTAGATTAAGTGCTTATTTAAATATTTAAAAATATATATTTGATACTTAATTTAATAGATATCAAGTTATTTATGAACATATATTTATGTACTTAATTCAAGAAAAGAAACGAATTTAATATGAGATACTATTGTTAGATTTATTATGTTTTTGATTTAAAATTTATTATTCATATAAATTATTATTGTTACATGTGTAATTTATTTAATTTATAAATTTTATTTAATTTTAATTTTTTATATTTAATTATTTTTATTTTTAAAATTTAATATTATTATATATATTACGTATAATAAGTACATGTAAAATTTTAATTATACTAATATAAATAATAACTGAGTTAAACAAGTTAATTAAATAAGTCGATAAATAATTGTAAATTTTTATATTTATTACTTAACTTAATATTTATAAATATATTATTTTCATATTTATTATTTACCATGTTTTTTTACCATTCAAATATTATACTTCTTGAAACATATAAAATACTTACGGATATATAATTACTAGATTAATCTTTTATTTTCAAGACAGTATTCAAACATATGATGAGGTTCCATTGAATGTCTCCTCTGCACTCATATGTCCATAAACCATTTATTTATAACTTTATTAATTTGGAAGTCGGGTGGGTGTATAACCTTTCACAGCTAGCAGTGGAGGGTTACATAAGGAGGATTATATTTCTCGCTTATGTTAGCAGTCACTTAAAATTTGGCGTAGTTCTGTAGTTGCCTGCAACTGCAAGTTATTATCTAGCAAATTCTGGAACAAGATCATTTCCCCTAGTGCTATAGGTATGGATCCCTTTTTCGACCATGCCTATGCTGTGGGAAATCATTTTTTGATTTCTCGTTTTATTGAGGGCATGACAATTCTCAATGTATCATTGAAATGGGAACATCATGGTCTGTTCATGATTCAGGAGATAGTCTCTAATTATATTTTTTTTGATTTTTTAGTCCTTAAATTTATAGTTATTATAAAAATAGTTTTTTTACTTAAAATTATTATTTATAGCCTCTGATACCAGATTTTTATACGGGTTTTCTTATTTCTTTAATTTGGTATCAGAGCCTGAAACTTAATAAACCACTTAAAAATAATGCGATTTGATTTCAAATTAATTAAAATTTAATGTGATTTTCGAATGCTAAAAGGGGTTTAGTAAAAAAAAAAAATCATTTAATTGTAATTGTTAATTGAGTCATAGTTTAGTAGTTTAGCTATACTATTAAAAATTTATTATTATTATTATTATTTTAAGTTTTAATTTTTAAAATTTCAATAATTAAAAATAAAAAAATTACTTACTTATTAAGTATAAAATTAAAAATTTAAAATAAGTACTCAAAATTTTAAATTTAAT